GTATGATGCATATATGAAATAATGATAATATACGTATATGTATGATGTATATATGAAATAATGATAATATACACATATGTATGATGCATATATGAAATTTGAATGCGCAAGAACCTACAAAATGCAAACAATATGCAAGAATATAAAAAAAGAATTGAAAGTAAAGTTCATGTTATAATCTTTCCAGAATAAAATAAATTCCTATTTAGATTCAATTTTCCTAAGCACGTTCGCGAAGATTGTATTTTGCATAAAGATCCGCAGTCCAATTATTAACCACCTGGAGTCCAGATTTAGACCATCAGACAATGATCTTTTACGTGTGCACAGGTAAAATTCCACCAATCGAAACTTTTGGGTCTTCAACTGCTTGAGTTGCTTAGAATTCTCTGATCTCCTGATAATCTCTACTAAGCAGGTAAGTGCACGTAAAAAAAAAAAAAACCACCCTTAGCCCTTTGAGTGTCGATCGTAATTGTAACAAAAAGATCCAATGTAAATGATAGGAATTATCATTACAATTAAAACAGAAGTGGAATGTCGAAAACTTGTTGAATATTCGGTACACCATTCGATGAGAATTATGTTCTATTAATAATTTATACTGACAGGGGCCTCTGTCAATGTTTCGTACAATGGTAGATATCGTTGCAGTAGATTCTTATCAATTATTCGTAACAGCACGTCCATATCGGTGTGCTTCTAAAATATTCACAGACAAAGGATTGCTTAACAAGGTAACCAATGAATTTTAAGAAATGAATTAGTCGAAAAGCAAATCAATTACAGAAGCTTGGACTTTAAAGGATTAGAAAAGCGTAACATAAATGTTATTAGAAACATCGAGAAGAAAGAAACGATTGTAAAACAAACGAGCTTAACAATTCCACGTTGCATACTACATATTCCTGTTAAAAATTTCCCAACAATTAAACACCCTCCTTACCCATGAAATGATATGAAGAGTCAGGCCAACGCGTGGCAATTCGTGGCTCAGTCTTTTCTAGGGTCAACACTCAAACGGTTAACGTAAAAACGCACGTTGCCCCACTCGAGACTGACCCAAACGAACGAAATTACCGTAGCGGAATGGCGACGAATGACCCTGGACCGTCAACTAGCGAGCCTGGACCTAGCAAACAAAGCCTGGCGCCTGTATCAGACTACGACACGTGTTCGTACTGTAAGAACAACCCGTTAAAAAAGAAACTCCGTTTAATAATCAGCAAGAATTCTTTGCAAATCATACAAATGGTGATCCAAGCGGGCGTCGTCGTCACGAAACCCCTGAACTACGTCAGCTTCCCAGAATGGGACTCTGACTGTTCCTGTTCATGACTAGACGTTGACTCTCAGAACGATGACGAAGTATTGTCAACATTCGTCGAAAGATTCGCAGAAACTATCGGCATAGAGGTGTACCGAGTTAGAACGATCATCGACCACGTGATGACCTTGTCGAATCGTATGATACTCGACCTCGATATGAAGAAATTGAACAGGTTCATCGAAAATGAAAAGGACATCGAAGACAGAATAACAAGAACGTTTTGTTATTCGTCGATCCCATCGATGTTGTCAATAACGTTCTCTGTGACGAAAAGCATCGACGATGTGGTGATCGAGGACGACTTCTGCTGCCCCTACACGCTGAGAATGTCTGCGAAGAAAATGATTACCTGGTACATAGAAGAGTTCTTCTACGATAACGACACGTTACACCTTCGCGAGGGTTTCGGACACTTCGCGAGGAGCTATCGCTCGAGATCTAGAGAGATCAAGAACTCCTTGGTCACGGACGAAAAAAAACCAGATTCCATATTGGATCTGACTGAGGCCCACCTGACAGAATACACGAAAATTATGGATCTACTCGCTAATACGTTTCTTAATATCGAAAAGAATTTACCGTTCATAATTAGAGCCTTCGAGGACAAGTCCATGAATCATGTGTTCTACATGGTTCATAACGTTCACCTGACGTACGAGGACTTGTATAATCTCTTGACCCTGATGCGAGACATTTTGAATAGAATGAGCTTGAAGAGCGTCGTCCTGCACAAGCTGCACTATAGACATAGCAAACTGAGTCCGTTCGTGATTCAAAAGATGGTCAAGTTCGTTTTTAAAAACTCGCATATCAAGGTTATCATTCCCTGTCTGAAGAGCAACCGAATTTGTTGCATCAAGTGATCGGGATTCATTCTCGATAAGCCATAGGCTTCTAATTCGTTCGGAGATATTTGTTTAGAGTTATTGAATGAAATGTCGCTGTCGAATGGACATTCGAATCTTTGCTTGTCGACTTCGAATGGAGATATAAATTGGGGAATGTATTTTATTCCATTTGTCAGAAAGTATCGAAGGAGAGATTTCATTGGATTCTCTGTGAGATATAGATTAACTAACACATTTTGTTACGGTCTTTATCGACCGTAAATTGAAATCGTATTTTGTAACAAATTTAAATCGAGAAATACATCTTATTATATTTCTCAAAAAATATGAATTGAGAGGTTTGTAAAAAAAAAAAAAAAAAAACAAAACACTTGTTCATGTGCTAAAGAAATTTGAGAATTATTAAAATAATGATTAGACCAAAATATGTATACGGTTTCTGTGATTATAGGTCGGTCTGTGATTATAGCAATGGTCCACACAGAAAATCTATACCTAATTTCATGGGTAATTTGAGAACGTAATGGAAACATTTTATGATAGTTATCGATAGCAAAATTTGCTTGACGAGCCCTGAAAAAAAGTACAAAAAGACGTCCAACAATCCAGATGGATATTGGACGCGATAGTGTAACGAAAACGCGAATCTATTCGTACGATCTTTACTCATACAAAAGTTATTTCTACGAACAACACAAACGAGAAATTGCTACGCTCATCTTCTTCATCCTCAATAACATTGTTTTATCTCTACATGTCATTGGAGTGTCGCAGAAAATATAATCCACTTAAAAATTGTAGTCGATCTAGTTTTAACTACAACAACAAATTTAAGATACAATAGAAACGAGGATGGGAAATTGTGCAATATATTCTGGGACACCCTGGTACAAACATTGGGGATGTTTGGTTCTGAGTATTGCATTAGAGTATCCCAATTAATAATTTCTATTTGTCAAAGTCGCAACTTTAAATAAAACTTAAAAATATAACAGGGACACAAATGGACTCATCTACAAATCCATTTGAAGGCATTCCAATACAATCGTAACTTCGTTTTCCACCCCCACCCCCTTCAGCTTCATTCGTCGATCTTCGCAAAAATTCCATCGTCAAGCATTCCATCGTTTATAACTTATAAATTATAAATCACTCCCTTACAAAACTGTCGTAAAACGTTTTCGTAATCATCTCAGTGTTCGTCTAATGCACCATTGAACACCATGAACATTCCAGCAAACAGCGAGTATGCGAACTACTGGTGCCAGTAGCTCGCATAGCCGCCGTGACGCTGAAACAACCATGGTGGCCGAGTTAATGTACCAAACGAGCCCTAAGAAGATCAAGGAAACATGTCCCGATGGATAATTTTTGTAATCGAACGATTGGACGACAGAGATTTCTACTTTACTTTGACTTCTGCTCATGTTGACAGCGTTCAATCGGAGAAAAATGGAGCAGAATTTCAATTTCACGTTCGATGTGGACATACGTTGCTTCTATCTCACATATTGGATCATACGAACCATCATTGACACAGCATACTCCATGATGCCCATAAGTAGAAATAGCTATGTACCTGTTGGATTCTTGGATTGTGTTCTGGTGTGCTCTTTACTTCTCGTCTGCACCATGAGCAATCTAATGATATAGAAGCGAACCAGACATTTCTAACACTGCGAGAACCAGTGTTGAAGGATCGACGAATCACGAGCACGTGTCGAAGATGGTCGAAAATCTTATTCAGAAACGATCTTATTTACTTTCGAATAAAGAATAAAAGATAAATTATTATGTTTAACACGTTGACCGCCACGTCACCCATATATATATATATATCGAAGAAGTAAACAAATTAATTCTGAAAGTTAAGCATGAAAGGAAATGAATTTGAATGAAATTCATGAATTTTGATGGTTACAAAAATAAATACCACGATAAACATTTGATTATGTAGTTTCCTATAGTGTAGATAATATTTAATCCTAGCAGAAATTGTCAAGAATATGTGTCCGGCAGTCAACGTGTTAATAAGAGATTATATCCAACATATTCTATACATTTTGTATGTTTTTCACGTAACCGTATACTACAAATGGATAAAATTCACAGTCAACAGTATCCCAGAATTACTGTAAGAACCGGACATGGGAGGTAGCTGAGACGATTCTGAACCACAATTTCCTTTGGAAAAATGTCGGATGGTGCTTCGTTTTTGAATTATTAAGGAAATATCACCGACCAATCACAGCGCCCGAGTGGCTGGCTACGTCAGCGCGCTAATCGAGCTAATCTGTGATTGGTCGGTGGTTTTTCGTTAATAATTCAAAAATGAACCATCATCCTACATTCTTGCAAAGGGAATTGTATTAGGTTGTCCTAAAAGTTTCTTCCATTTCAGTAATAAGTAATACATACATAATATTTTATGTCTAATGTTACGTTATTGAATTGCGTACGATTCATTTTGCTTCATTACTATTCCAATATTAGCATCTAAGAAATTAGATTGTCTATTTATATGAACAGTGCCACACAAAATAACTGAATGCAAGTCACGGAAGAAACTTTTAGGACAACCTAATAGTTCAGAATCGTCTCAGCTACTCCTCATTTCCTGTTCTTACTCGATTTAGGTTTACTGAATTTCACTGTTTGATTACATCTACGAGTACTCTTGCGTTCTTCGATCCTATTTCTCGCATCACTCTGTGTATTAGTGACAAAGGCGAAGCGCTTGCAAACAGGCCACCTAAACAACTTCGAGTAATTTTCTAGTCTTGAATATTAGTGTCTTCGTACATAGAAGAGGCATTGAGTCACGTGCTCGCCATACACCGCAACAGAATGGAGCTCTTAACTGACCAAAGATCAGAAGCCTTCAATCTCCGAATATATAATACGTCCATTAACTAAGAAAAACACACAAAAGTCAGTTTATTCTTTATCTGAACTGAATCAATCAGGTGGCCTGTTTCATTTGCCTCGCCTTGTAAGTACATGTGACAACTATAATATAGAAGTTAGAGCGCAGAAACAAAATATTTTTAATATAAAATAATGTTTATTGACTAAGTAAAAGTTAATATATATTGATTAATCTATGCAAGCAAATGAAGAAATCTCTCCAAGAAGATTTTTGACTAAATACAAACATATATCGAATACATAGGTGCATGGATTGTTTTATTTTGAACGATGGTGCACGTGATTACAAGTAAACGTGAAAGATTATTTTGAAAAGTTCACCACGCGTTTTGTTGTTAAAAAATAGAACCCTCACAAAGATTATTTGTTGGGGATTTCTTTGTTTGCTTGTATAAAATAATCACGGAATATAAAATAGGATATTTTTGTGGAAAAATGATGATCAACCGTTCGTTGATAAGAAACGTGAATCGCTCCGGATAAGCGAGTGCAGTCTGTGATGGAACCGAGTGCGTTATACATATAGAGTAGGTTTTGTCTGGGTCCGCTCGTAACAAGTCCGAATACCTCATGTCATCGTGTGCATATGTTTGCGTTAGGGCTGGGTCTAATCGGGTGATTTAATGCACAAATATTTTTGATATGTATACGAATGGTACAAATGTGCGACATTCGAGTATTCGAACGTCCTTATTGAAATATTGAATAAAACTAACAGCCTGATAGGAGAACCAACATGAAGAATCCGATATTTAATTCTATGAGCTAGATACTTGATTAGTGCGAGAAATATTCGAATATTCAAATTGAATTCGCCGCAGAAAACCTGAATTGAGTTTGAAATATCAACAGAAATCAATAATGCACGAAGAGTAGTCGGATGCAATAGAATAGTCAAGTATTCGATTAGTATTTGAGTAGTACTCGAATAATCGAATACCTCGCCAGAGAAACGTTCGAATACTTGAATACAGAGAAGCTCGACTAGTCCCAAGCTCTACTTTGCGTTGCTCGTCAAATTCCTACTCAAGCGCGAGTAGCTCACGCTATAATTTATTCGACTAATGACGCTACACTTCAACGAGAAAGAAAAAAATTAACCACATTTAACCGCCCAAAGAGTGATATTTTTATAAACATTTTTCATCGTACTTCTGTTGATTATAGCACATAAGAGAAACAGTTAGTACAAAGGGGGAACGTATTACGACTGAATACCGAGTAGATAGAGTGATATTATACAGGAATCTATTTTTCTGAATATGGAATAACGCGCGATAAAATAGCCGATTTAGGATCTGGATTGCTGTCGAAAAGATGATCGTACGATAGATCAAGCCAGAAGTACTCCACTTTGTCAATAACCATGTCTGTAATACGTGTGTCTATTGTAACAGTGACGAGTAAAATCCTAGGCTTGGAATAAATCTGAAGTTTTCTGATACGTTTGTCTTGTTCCCTTCTTTGGAAAATATTTAAAAGAGGAAACGAGACAAACTTGAGACTTATTCCAAGCCTAGGGTTTTGCCCATCACTGCATTGTAGCTGTCTATAACAGAATTAACGTTGACTATTTATCATATATTATATGTCTATCATGGATTTGGTCTGTAACAGAAATGGGAAAATTCTTCTCCAAACAAAAATTGAAAGATGAACTGCTTCTAAGGTGTTATTTGTTTGGTGACAATTATAAATTAATTATATATATATACATATAATTATATAATTATAAATTAATATATATATATAATTACAATTATTATAAATATAATATAAATTGTCCAATGAAACTATCGATAGGTTTGCTAGGTAATTAAAACTAAACCTGGAGTCAGTCATGATTTTTTAGAATGGATTGTTCAGAGGTTCTCAAAATTATAATTTTTGCCTCCTTGGCGTCTTTTGCGAATAATATAAGTATTATTTGGTAAACGTAAATGAGAAGTGATAAATGCTTTTTTATAGCATACGCATTGTTAGAATTTGTTGGTATCAGAACCGTGAAGAATTTCTTGTTGGCTTATGGCAAGAATACAGAATATAAATCGAACGAGTAAAAATGTAAATAGATGTGTAGTTCCTATAAAATTATTGTGTGGTCAGTAAAATATGTAAAGAGAGCTATTTTTATTACAACGAGAAGATACTATAGATGAGACCTGATGGAACTATAGGTATGGATGCGAATAGCGTTATTTTTATTACAAGGAGAAGTAAGATATTTTTATTCGTTCGATCCATATCATGTATTCCATTTGCAAAAGACGATTATGTGTGCTCATAATAAGAGATGAAATAATAAACACAATGCTTGAAAAATTACACAAGGATTAAAATGAAACTATACTTCGAGTTAACACGATGACTGCCACACTCATTCGCATGGAAGTCTCCACAGAACTAAAATTTCGTCTCGAGACAATTAGAAACTATAGAATCTAATATTTGTCGTATTACTTATTTTTTAATTCTCATCAAGATTAACGAATACTATCCAGACCTGCTTTCATCAATAGTTACTCCTTTAAATTATTTATTGAAGTTCTTTAGTAAAAAGCTCCGTCACTCATACGTGGGTGACGTGGCGTTTAATGTGTTAAATATGTAAACTCTTATTTGAACAATTAATCGCTTGTTTCTCGTTATTGAAATGTTTCCCATCTCCGAGGCAGATCCATCTTCTTGTACTACGCTATTTAAATTCTAGTCGACATAATAATAATCGTAAATAATTGGGATGTTAATGGGCACGGATATTAATATTCCTGAAATACAAAACTATTATTAAATATCGAATAAGAACGATCATTGTATTTGTCTGCATGTAGCTACTACATATTACTCGATACTTGTAATGTTTCGATGGAATACTACACGAATCTGAACATACGTGTTATGTATCGCTGATAAAAGTATCTCTATGTTAAAATATCGTCTAATTAATGTTAATGGCATTCAATGAATATTAATGTCAAGTAGTAAACCCACGAAGTATAATCGTGTATTAAATGAAAAAGATAACAGCGCTTAGTGACCAAATCTTCTCTGTACGTTGCTCCTCGATGCAATGTTTCGTTACTTTGTTTTTCTAATTCGATGCAATTCAGTTTTCAATTTTGTGATGCGATCAGACTGATAATTCATCGGCTGGAAAGATAAATTAACCGACAGCTAAGATAATTAGCTAAGTTTCATTACAGTTGGAAAAGTCTTCTTTAAACTTGGAAAAAAAGAGAGATTGCGTTGCTTCCTGTTGATTTCATGGACTTTGGAAAATCCATACAAATTATAAATGGAAATCATTCTCTAGAAGTTCACCATATGGATGTGATAAATGTTTATGTAACACTTGATGTGAATGTTATGAGTGTACTTGATGTATCGATAAAATTCGAGATAAATGTAAACAATGTAAACAAGCTTTTGTTGTTTTATTACGTCCATCCCTAATTTCCTCTGATATAAGTACTCAAAAATCAAAATTAATTGATTTTAAATTCCTTTGGAACAAACAATTACGTATATTCGTCGTTCTATCATTTAACAAAAAAAAAAAAATACAATTATGAAATTGAGAACTTGTAGATTAAGAATCAGTGATCACTGTAATGGATAATTTAAATTTATTTTCAATCAAATACTAAATCTCCCAATCGCTCCAAAATAAATGACGACCATACTCGAATTATTTGTTCGAGTATGCTGACGGTGCTCGTGCGAATTTATACAGTTACCTGCAAAAGTATCCACACACCCTGTAACACACTTCATGTACTTAATCAACATTAAAATCTCATCAATTAAAAATATACACGATGTATTTCGAATATACTCTACAATTAATAATAATTAATAATATTCTTATTTAATTCTGTATAAGTCCGCACACCTTTTGCTTACGTCCACCACGTGTTTATTACATCATCTCGTATCATAAATGAATAAACACTCCTCAGTCTCGTTACAAATGATCGAATATAAAGGCACAGGAATCATTTCTACCCCCGACACCTATAACACACCACGCGGAAGCTTCTTTCAGGAGCAATCCGGATACTTTCGCCTGTAACTGTACCCGCGTATCACCTAATACTCTGTTTACACCCGATCAATCTCGGAACGGCTGAAAATTGGACAAGTGGAAGCGTCGGAACGCCATCGGGAGGTGAGCTTGTCTTCAGGAACCGTGACCGCCAAATTAACTAACGCGTGGCCTTAATTAACTCGTCGACCTCGGTGATTCGAGCGGTTTCCACCTGCGGAAAACGGACCCAAACTGTTTCGTCCGATACAGTTCTGGCAAGTAGTCATGATCGACGATGCACGTCCGTCGAAACTTCCCCTGACGAGCTTTGAAGGTATTTAATAACTCGACTCAAGTTCTCCCCATCGAGGAGAGGGTTTGCTAATTTGCATTTGCGTGCCTGGGGTGGTTCTAAATTGTGTTGCATCGCGCAGGTATTCCGAAGACGACGCGTGGACAATTCTTTGGGAGCTCCGAGTGGATCCGAAAGGGAAGCGGAATAAAACCGAAATCGTGGAAAGGAGGCGGTGGAGGTCAAGCTTGGTTACTTGAAAATGTGGTGATCAAGCTTGGTTACTTGAAGATGCGGAGGTCAAGCTTGGTTACTTGAAAATGTGGAGTTGGTCGAATGGCTGGAGGAGGTAAGAATTAATTTGTCAAGGTAGATAATAGTTGGGTGGAAGTTTGGAGAATAATTTTCTTGTCTATGATTTATAAAGACGGTCGACTTCAAGCGTCGATTTCTTCAAGGAAAATAGCGTCGACCAAAGGTTCCCAAACTTTTTAGACCCGCGGCTCCCTTAGTATACACATTATTTTCGTCGGCTCCTAATATCAATCAATATGAGACTAAACTGAAATATGTTAGACAGACTACATTTTGTGGCACATGTTAACTAAATATAAGTGTTACTATTTCATAAGACTTAATTTCTTTATTATTATACTTCACCAATATTTATTTTTCTTTCTCCTACATTTTTTCATATTACATTTACATTTTACATATTTACAATTTATCGCTCACAGTTTGAGAATCCCTGGTGTACACTATTCTTGAGAGTTACTCTATTTATTTTCGTAAAGCCCTTAGGTTTCTTCGTCGTTATTCCAGATGGCCAGTGCATATAAAGAAATAGGAATGTACAAAATCCAGAAAAATGACGAATATAGAGAAGAAAAATATGAAAAAACGCGGGGAAGCAAACAATATAAATGTACATGTGAATGCCTGCGAATATTTCATTATTACTACGATAAAATATATCATACATTTACAGTCAGTGTATTAAGTATTCGTATAAAAACCATTTATTTTAAATTGGTTGCTGTACGAATACTTTTTACACTGACTGTACATAATTGTATATTTATATAATATATTGTAATAGTGCGAATGTAATAACGAGACAAACCATGTGTTTGGACGGTAACTGAAAATGAAAAAGAAGACAAGGTATGCTTAAATTTTCCTTATTGAAAAGAACTTGGATAAAATCTTGATAAAGTATCGTGAATATCTTTTGATGTTTGTATCATTTTCAGAAAACCCTCTTGCAAAAGTTCCATTAGAAAACCAAACCCGAAGTATTCCTTGGGAAGACTTTCGTGACACGCTCGTCGGCGAACTTCTCAGAAAGTAATAATCCAAACGAGACAAGAGTGACCTCTTGCATTAACTACGTAACAAGTCTAATAGAATAACACTTCGGCAACACGAGCCACTCATAGTACAGATTACGGTCGTTGAAGTAACAAAGTGGCAACTAATTCCGCTGTTCGTACTGGGTCGTACTGATTATCAAATAAATTTCGGTCAGATTCCGACAATTTCGACAAAAAAGATGAACTCCTTTGACCAAAAGTCTCGGGTCTACTGTAAAAATTGGAGAAAATTGGAATTAAACCAGAATAAAAACTCCAATTCCACTTGGACTAACGATCCACTTGTCGATCCAACATTGCAAATTCATCTGTAAAAATTGGAGAAAATTTAGATCTTTTGAAGAAATTCAAGTTCCCAACAAATTTAGTGGATTCTCCATCCCTAAAAGAAACATTTCGATTCCCAATCATTCGGATTCAAAATCTTGTCAATCAAAACAGTGTAAATGGAATCGTGGAAATTGGGAAACATTCAAATTTCCTAAAAAATTGGTGAACTCTTCTTCCCCAGAAGAAAAATTCCAATTTCCATCCATTAGAACTGAAAATCCACTAATCGACACAACATTGAAAATTGAGCTCTACAAATTGGAGAAAATTCGAATTTCCCAAAAAATTGTTCAACTCCCCCACAAGAAAAATTCCAATTCCACTTAGCCTAAAAAACCACTTATCTATCTAACATTCCAAATTCAACTCTAACAAACAGAAAAATTGGAGAAAATTCAAGTTTCCAAAAAAAAAAAAAAAAAAAAAATATGGTGGATTCTCCTCGCCAGAAGAAAAATTCAAATTCTCATCTATTCGAACTAAAACTCCACTAATCGATCCAGCATTGAAAATGGAACTCTACAAATTGAAGAAAATTCGAATTTCCCCCAAAAATTGTTGAACTCCCCTAGAAGAAAAATTCCAATTCCACTTGGCCTAAAAATCCACTTATCGATCTAACATTCCAAATCCAACTCTAACAATTAGAAAAATTTAGATTTTCTCCCAAAATTGGTAAACTCCCTCGGAAGAAAAATAAAACCACATAGTATAGTATATTATCAGATATTCCTCAAGAAATTCCATTCAGGAACACTACGATTAATTTTGTCCAACCTGCTCGAGTTAAGGCAGAGTTTAAAAAATGACGTGCACTGGTCGCACACACAAGCTCGCGCCCGTGTGTACAGACGCATGCACCTTCAACTGCGCCGCAGAGAAGGTCCACACATGGAATCATCAGACGCAATCGTGACCAAAGACGAGGATGGCTCGTGTGCATCGTAATTCTTCCCACTGCGGCCACCGCTATAAAGGAGCTTTCAACTGCAAGGAGGGCAATTCCATAGTTAAACACGCTGCAACAACATGAACTTCGTATTAATCCCATTCTTTCTAGGTCGGTAAGCGAATTAATCTTAATCAGCTTCAAAGCCTCGACTTCCGTGCCGACCTTACCGCGTCTTCATCAACGCCAGCCTTTTTCTAACGAGCATTAAACAATAATTTGAATATCAGACCCTCGATTATCCTCGTTCATCGTTTCGTGAACCGTGCATGCTTGCTTTTTGGTTACGATCATGGGCTTTCGTTGCATCGAGATCGTTTCATTCATTTCTGTGTTCCATTTTCTTTGGAAATTCTTGGGAAAATAATGCTTGTTACCATTTAAACGATTTCTCATGATTTCATCCATGCTTGAAGCTTTTTATTGAATATATCTGTGGATACGAGCTAGCACATTTATTACAACGAAAAGTGTCTGTGTTTTTGACAGGGGGATTGTGAGGTCCATTTTCCAAACTCTTTGATAGTCTGCGACGAAGTTTGATAGTTGTTTTGTTAATGGAACAGAGCATATCTTCCGTGTGAATTTCATTGTGATACGTTTAGTTTATGAATTAGTCCATGCACGTGATATTGCTTGTGTTTGACGTTGATCTCATAGTTTCTTCGAAGTTTAGATGTGCAGCAGCCGAAGGGAATGTTAATTTAAATTAAGACCAGAGTGTATAATGAAACGGAATTTTTGTGTAGTTCATCCAATGAAACTTGACAATTTAAACAAATGGTCGAAATAATTCTGGTTGTTTATATTTTTACTGATATCGGGAACGGTTTATAAAATTCTTATAAATTCGAGATTCATTTTTTTCTTCTTTTCGCTAGGAATTTTTTTCTCACAAATAATCAAAGTTGCGCCCATATGTTATTTAACGAAATGTGCTTCGTTTTGACCGAGGAAGTGAAAAATAATTTTTATACACAATTTCAGATTTTGACCAAAATCGACAGGCGACTTCTTAGCGAATTTTTAAAAAAATCTTTCTTAAATTTTTAAAAACTTGAGTTTTCGTTTTAGAGAAAAATTTTCTGTATGTTGTTCGTAGGTTTCCGTGAGATCTGCCACGGAAAAAAGTTTCGATCCAAAATGTTCATTATTAAGAGAGCTATGAATTTTTTAATATTAGACAACTTTTTATAAGTTTTCCGGCAAAAAGTACTAAAAAAATAGACTCTTTGGATAGTTCCATATTTTTGAAAAATTCTTCACTAGAAGACACGCAGTTTCTCGTTTTGATCGTTGAAATCCGTTTACCCAATCAAGAGTTACAATTTTCTTTATTTCTTACCACAGTGCCACAGAATATTAAAAATGTTCAGAACAGTTATCGAAAATATAAATAACCAGAATTATTTCGAAGACGTGTTTCCACTCTTAAAATTGTATTTTGGGTTAAAATGGATCAAGGCACCGTGAGATTAGGTCCTCGTGAACTTTATTTTCCCAAAAATTCAAATTCAATTGCTGAGCTTCCCTCGTAAATATTTATAACTCGGACCAGACACGAATGCACGACTACTATCCATTAACAACAAAGAATCCTACCCATAACTGATACTCTTCAATTACAAGCCATTATTACACGAATTATTACACGAGTATCGTCCTAAAACATTTCCCTAATTTTCAGCGGCGAATGTCACCGTGAACGACATGAGCGAATGGGTCTACGGGCCAGAATTCGTCTACCACGTCAATCAGACCTTCGTGATAACTAAGGACCTGAGCACGAAACCACTTAGCCTCGTCAGAATGACCACGGACCTCACCTGCCGACCGCACAGCCAGGATACATTGTCCTGTGGCTTCGGTACGTTCGAGATGAACGCAACGGACGAGAAGTCGGTAAAAGTGGAGATCGAGCAACCCTTCCTCGTCAAGTTCAACCGTCGCGGGGTACAAAGCCTGCATTTCACGGAGGTGTTGGAGAGCGGGAAGCTGCTGACGATCAGGGACATCGTCAAGGAGTTGAGCATCGGTGCGGACCTCGTCCAAAACGCAAACGCTTTCCCAGCGTTCATGGCGATGGAGAACTACGTGCTAGGCGAGTGTGCCACGTTGTTCACGGTTCTGGAATACGACAGAGACGAGAGATCGTCGACGCCGGACCCAGAGACCGAACGAAACTACGAACTGAACGTGTTGTCCATGCCGAATATGGACCAGGACGCCACGGTGGTTGTTAACAAGAGGACGGAGCACAGGAGATGCGTCAGCTACGAGGACACGCTTCTCGCTAGACACGACGTGGACACGAGGCATGTACGTAGACACGAGATTCGTTGGTGAGGATAGTCACGGGGTTTGTGGATTTTTTGAGGATCCACGGAGTATAGATTTGTGGGCTCAGTGTAGAGGATTTCTTTTTGGTGGAAAATGATTGGAGGGAGTATCGAGATCCTTCGAGTTTGGAGAGGACTCAAGGTTTTGGGACCCTTTAGGGGTTTGAAGGAAACCACGAGATACTGAGATAATTTAAATTAATAGAAATTGCTGATAATTTGGTTGGAAGAGGACCTATCGTTTTGGGACTCTATAGTTTCAAAAGATACCATAAGATACTGAGATAATTTAAATTGCTAGAAATTGCTTATTCTTTGGTTGGAAGAGGACCTATTGTTTCGAGACTTTATAGTTTGAAAAGAAACCAAAAATTGCTCGAGTAGCTTGAATTGCTAAAAGTTGCCTCTGTTAGGGCCCTTCTAGCTTGAGCAATTTATGGTTCCTTTCAGGGCCCCAGAGGTACAGATTTATGGGCCTCACAGTGGAAGATTTCAATGTTTCGTTGGGAAACAAGGGAAGAGATGATCATTGAGATCCTCTTGAAAGAAATACCAAACTGTTCAGCCGTCTGAAACAGCTAGTGCTCGAAAACAAGTGACGTAGTAGAGGATTTAATACAGGACTTCTAAGACTTATTCTAACAATAAGCCGACTACACTGAATGATAAAGTAATATGTATCGAAAAGAAAATATAAATAAAAACATCGAGGAAGGAAAGAATATAATTATAAATAACACCTATGAACAGTTACAGTTAGTATTAGTACCAAAAAAGTTACCTCGGCAATAATCCATGAAAAATGAGAAATAATATGACTGCATTAAACAATAATCCTTCATCAATTTTCCATTTTAAAAGAGTTGAACAATCTTCAAGAACATTCGTTATCAACCAAAGCAAACCTATATTTCATACTTCACAGCCGAGGATCTCGGACGTTGCATAAAATGGTTCCAATTAAAATTGATTTTTATTTTCAGAGGCGATCGGTGAGCAAGATGACCATCAAGGCTGACGCATTCCGAAGCTACACTCAGATGAATATTAAGATAAAGAATATCGGTACCCAAGAGGGCATCGCCGTTCTGGACACAACCAGCGTGGAATTGGTGGCCATCAAGCCAGCCAAGGAGGAGCTACCTTGCTTGACCTACGACGTGGACGCGACCCTAAGTTTCGGCGAGGACATGCATCATAATTTCTTGATGTAGAACGCGATGCGAATACACGTTCCAACGGAGAGGCTTCCGCAGTAGAAGAGTACAATTCGCTATAAGATCGTCGACCATTGATATAGAAGAGTTTTAATAAATTTGCACACAGCCGAAGTTTGCGACTCGCATGTAGAAGTACTTCTGAGCTGTGTTTCCCCATGAAGTTGTTACGTTCATTTATTTATCGAGTATTCTTTTCCCTAAACCCAACTGAACCTGTTTAAATAAATTAAACTTTCCATCGAGTTCTGTGCTTTCAACCGCAAACGATCTGGGAAAGAGCTACTGTATATTATTGTATGGGCAAATTGCGATTGGTTTACTGTAAACAAGAATGTAATTACTTGGGGAGCTCTTTTTTTCACATTTTCTCACTTTCAGGGAACTTGAAAAAGCATAGTTAGTTTGATAGTTAATTTGATTAGGTTCAGGATACGTTGCAGTTGATCGTGCCTGAAATAATCAAGTGCGCCATCTCTAAACTCTAAAATCTGCATTCTATCACAGAAAGCGTACTCTGTACCATAGACACAGTAAATCAACAACAACAGATGCTACACAAACGAAATCCGAGATATAGTTCAATAATATAAAAAATAAAATAAACGTAATATCGTAACGGTAAATTTTGGCATTCTGAAACTGTTTTCTTAAAACAGACATTGTTTAATCTGAATATCTTAATATGCCAGTTATCGAAGCGATGCATGAATGTAAAATGGAAAAACAAAGATATCTCTTTTGGGCGTTTCTTACTAACGAAGCTATAAACAACAATAAATTCTTGAAAGAAAGATCCACTCGCAAATAACATACAAAATCCACGCAAACGCATGCACAAGACACTGAAAAAAGGAGTCGTGGCGAGTTAGATAAATTTCTTTGTATTTAAATTACGGTTACATTAAATTATATGTACGTTGACCCGTGAACGCGCGCGCTCTTGGTTCACGGTTCATTGTAAGTTTAAATTGATTGACGTAGTTGATTCGAAATGTATGTTCAGCGTATAGTCGACGACCATCTACGCGAATTCATTTGTTTATCCTCTTCTTGTAATTCCGTTTTATCGAATAAAGCGAAACCTATCCACGTGACTAAACCTTACATCTAGGTGTGCAGATTGCAAACGGCCCTCGGTTAAACTCGCGTCTCGATACGCGTGACAATTTATTTAACAAAGAAACGGAAAAAAGAAGAAATTGCCTCGAGCATCGTGAACGTCTTTGCGCCTCCAATTCGAACTTTGTCGATTCAGGACACACGGAATGCAATTTCGCATCCTGGCTAACAAAAGGTGAGATATGCTCGCTCGGTGGAATGGATTACGTAAAAGCAATATTTAGTTAAACTTAAGTTGGGAAGATTGGAAGAGGAATACTTTAGCACGTTGACCGCCAGACTAATACTGGGAATTTTATAGCGGACATTTTTGTCAGGCTTAGTTTTTCTTCATACAGAATTGAAAACTATATGATTTAAACGTTTCAATTTCTAACAAATTAAAGAAACCTATCCAGATTAATTAATTTCTAAAAACGAAAAACCTTGTCATCTATACACGATGGTCTACATGTTAACGTATTCCTGCTTCTCGGTGAAAAGTGCGAGTTTCTTCATAGGAATGCTCCAAGTAGCATCGACGAATTGCACTCTTATCGATGCCTCGCTGGATCGTCTTTCCTTTAATCTTCGTAGCTCATCCATTAACTAACCATTTAGTCTTTGTTTAGTTCAAACAAATATCGCGATAAATGTGCACTAGACTCTGTTTCCCAGTGTAAATTCGCGAGAAACGCTCCAGATAATCCCGAGACAGGATGTCGAGTTTATATGGCTCACTAGAGCTCCGCTATTCTAACAGCGGTTGAATACTTCAAGTAGGCCCATTATTCAAATCACGCCATTAATTTTATCCGCTCGAACAATCCTACTTTGTCTCCCCTGATCCTCGGAGTGATCTTCCTAACTCAGACTTAACCCAGATCTCCGTGTGATAGTGCACAGTTATCGTAACCCTTAAAACCACAAAATGATTTCCAAGTATTTCAAAGTGAAACGCATCAAGAGGACCCAGCGCAACGATCTGCGCATTTAAATACGTAAGTACGTAGTTCCGTTCGAATGGATCGTCAAATATTGCATAGACATCCGATCGTTATTGCGTTCGATAATTAATAATGACCATTGTGCGTTCATTTCGATATCGTTGGTGTATCGACGTTTATAAATGCTCCCTTAAATGATTGGCAGCGTGTATCATTTTATTTTCATTCTCTCGTGAACAATTCTGTGTTTTAAAACGCATTCAAGCATCGGTATAAAATGCATCATTCGGCTAAATTTAAAATTCGTAGATTAAAAACGTTCGTCTCGGTACGAGAGATATCGATTTATTAGGAAATGATTCCAAGACGAACAATTATGGTAATTCGTGCGTCGAAAGCTATCCAAGCGTGTTATCTAAACGAGTTTACAACTTTCGCCGTTGATTCGCGAATTTCCCTTGAATTGATTGATTAATTGATCGAAGACATTGTCATTGTAAAAGTATGACAATTTCACGCTCGCTGTATCAAATACGTGTATACATCTCATATATATATATGATTTAAAAATGTAAATATAGTGTATATGTATATATATATATATATGTATGTGGGATGCGGGTTTGAATCCGGCGCCTCCGCTTGTGGCGTTGGAACGACGATCGGGTGAGAGCGTGCGTTTGTCGAGAGAGTTAGTTGTTTATCCAATAACTCCTACATATGTATATTTATTTATATACAAGGTGCCCCGTGTACTGTTTTCGTAGAACTTGATGAAAATATCTACTTCATTTTTCCTACAGTTAAATAATATAATCCATAATAAAAAGAGCGGTTTAAGTAAATGTTATTCAGTTTTATAAAAGATATTAACAAATTTCAATAGATACTCTTCTTTTTCTCTTTAACATTCACTCCATAGAAATTTATTGCACGCTAAGACCCGTTGCGTTATTTAATTCTAAGAAAAATTTAGTCGATATCTACATTAACTTTTCAAAAAACAGTTTGCAGCGTTTCATACGGAACGACCTGTATAGTCGACAATCTGAAAGTCACGTATATCCGGTATACGTTAATTATTTTCGTTTCCATCGAGTCGATTCAGCTTTCGATCGACCTGGCGATAGATTACCCGATGAATTTGCCAAGTCTCGATGTATGTAGACATGCCCGAATAGTATTCGAATTTCTGGGTATCTGGATGTCTCGATGCAATCGACGTCGCTTCAATTTTCGTTGACTATTGTTCTTAGCATCATTGACAGAGAGATTGTTACAAAATCGATTTATACAAATCTAGGATCGCGTTAACAGTAGATCTGGGACTACTCGTCTAGTGACTCTGTGTTCTGTTACTCTGTATGAAACATTTGGAGAATTACGAGTACTAGACTACTCGAACATTTAGATATTCGAAAATATGAATATTTAGCGTGGCGATTAAATGTTGCCTTCACGGCAAATTTGTCGAACAAAAATAAACAATGCAGCGAAGACACTGAGAGCTTCGGTGAACCTAGCGTTAAAAACAAAAATACATCTGGATGTTTACAGTACACATTTGTGTACAGTGATTCGACGAGTAGTCCCAACCCTGGCGCAAGTATTCGAGTACTTTCTGATTCGAATAATAGCATTCCAAGTTCACTCGAGGCGTTATAAAATATTCGAATGTTAATCAGTTCAAATAGTTCTAGCCCTAGTTACGAACGCGGAGACAAGGATATGATTGCGGATGGGAGAAGGAGAATCCTGTATCACCATAGAGATATTACAGATAGAGTAACAGAGCTACTATAGTTAAAAAGAGAAAGAAAACCGCGGTATCCTACCCGTCTCTGTCTGCCAGGGCATATTTCTATCATTTTTATGTTAATGAACAGTGGTTATCGTTTACTTTTAATAATTACATGTAAATTTTACATTCACATTAATAAAAGCACAGAGATAGGTAAGTTACCGCGGTGTTTCTTTCTTTCTAACGGGTGGGACATCTCCACGTACAGGCTTTCCACTTACCGTATCTACCCTGCTCTATCTATGATATCTCTAACCGTATCACGCGATACAATTTTCTGGCGACCGACAGTCGATAAGGACACACTCTGTCGAGATACTAACGACAGAAGGTGCTCATGGTAAACCGAAAACGCTCTACCGTAATCGATCCGTCTGATCTTTATTCACGGTTCGATGACTTTCTTCAAGCTCGCTAGCAGGATCTACGCCCAGCATATCTTGGACCAAGCAGGGACTCCAAAAGCTCGATAAAATCTCGCTAGGCCTAGGAACTCGAGGATTCCTACTTAACACCTTGTGGGATTGGCACCCCTATCGGTCGATCGACGAAGAAACCTCTGGTAACTTAATCTTTAACCCTTTGATGAACTCTTCAGGCTTCTTTAAACCCTCGACGACCTTTCCAGGCCTCTTCAACGCTTCCTACGCTTTTCGCATCGATGGGAGATATAGGATCTGTGCAACTGACTACTTACAGTGTCTCTATACTCTTATACTCCTATGTTATAAACATAGATGGATCAAGTTACTCGTTTGTTTAGTCGTGTATGCGCTTTACATAATGATACGTATCACTGTTTATTTACAATCACAAAGAAGTTCAAGGATTTCCTGAAAACCTCCAAACGAGTCGCAATTTAACACGTTGACTGCCAGGCAAGTATTCTTGAAACTTTCTGCTAAGATTAAATATCATTTAAACTATTGGAGACTACATAATAACTACATAGTAACTTTAGTAAAATTTATAAATTTCATTTAAATTCATTTCTTTTGATACTCGACTTTCAGAATTAATTTTTTTAGCTGTTCAGTGAAGAGCACTGTGTGTGACATGGCGGTCAACGTGTTAATGTATGCTTGACAAAAAAAATGTTTGTTCGACTCAGCCGCTGTGAATATGCTAGAAAAAACTGTATAATTCCCAAATAATCAAGTACGCACGATTACAGCAGTAGAAAAATGGCCACAAGAGACAGTTGCAAAGACTCTGTGTATATACTGTGTACTGATATCAATTTCGTTATAGATACTATCATCTTCATGGATACTACTCTATTATCTTCCTCAAAGTTCTGAGGTTCCCCGGGGTTCTGCTGACAACCTAACGAGGCCCAATCACAGAAGGTGTCGGTCCTAAGGAGCTGTTAAACGCAACGAGATTATGTAGAGAGAGTAAGTAAGACAGTCGAGAAAGTGTGACGCTAATACTAATAGAAAAAAGTGTGCACGCCTGTCCTCTAACAACTTCAGAAACTTCGATGGGAGAGAATACGAATTGAGGAGAAATGTCACTCCAATGGTATCTCCTCAATTTCCATGGCTTCTCCCGACCAAGTCTTAAAACCCTGATGCACGCGGAAGCTTAGACAAAAACGGAATATCTCTCCTGATTTGTCCTCTCTATCTTCGAATTTTACATTTGACTTAAAGAGGGTCTATCTTCGCTCTATCTATATAATCTCTGCGATTAAACCATCGTTAGCTGCGATTCGCTGAACGATGTCTTCGTTTCTTTCCTTCGTTCTCGCCCTACCTGATTTCATTTTGGAAAACAAGCTACCCTAACCTAGGTATATACAATTATTACGTTCGCAGAAGAGACACGGTGTGCCGCGGCAACCGCGACCCAGTCGACAGTTCTCGCGCACAGCGCGCGTTTAACGCGTTCGCGCGACATTATTGACCGTTGTTCACGTTGTTCTGTTGCTTCACGGAGTCCATGTTGGGGACGTAATCCATCGCCATCAGGCATGCGAACACCGTCATCACCATCTTCGGTTTCACCTCGGTGATGTCCTCCGGCAGCGCGTAAACGCGCGCTCCGCATTTCCGGGCCAAGGATATCGCGTACTTCGCGTTGTCCAGGTTCTCCTGCAACGCAACCGCGATTAGTCACGCTGGCACGACCATCGATTAGAGGACAAAGAGGCTCCAGGAGGACAGTGGATTGGAATACGAGAGGTAGCGAGTATCACGATGGATTCGCTAGTATCAATAGCTAATATAAAACAGGAATGAATCAACCATAAAAAAAACATTCCAAAAATGATTTAAACCAAACCAACTGCATTGTATAAGAATAAATTCTTTTTTAACGACTCCTAGCCTCATTTCTCGCGCATAAATGACCACCTTCAACAAAGCCACCCTTCGAAATACCTTTCGAGACATCTTTCAAGGGCCAGTAGGCGATCTTACCTCGTTGCCACCTTCCTTGACGAGCTCGTAATTGACCGTGCCCGGTTTGATGGCGTCGATCAGATCGAGCACCACCCTCCCGTCCGATATCGATGAATCCTGAAAGCCCTTGATGCTGCTCGTCTTCCCTGCGCCCTGCAACTTCGAGTTCACCCACTGCACGATCTCCTTCTCCACCAGAGTGTTGCCCTGGGTGCCTGCCAGAGACGTAAGAATCGACAAGGTGTACGACCTCATCAGTTGCCAGATCAACGCCAACGTCAGCGTCGCGTTTCCATCGTTCAGATCCTGGCCGGCGATACCAACCAGCGAGAAGTTCATCGTTTTGCCGAGTTCCACCGCGTAATTGCAATTCTCCAGCTTCTCCATGAATTTCCTCAGCTTGGTGAACTTCTTGTGCACCCTGTTCCAGTTCACGGTGCCTGGCTTGATGATGTCGTAGAGCTGGAAGATTACCAGACCGTCGGCCAAGTCCGAATAGAGCCAATTCACGTGAGGCATCACGCCCATCGAGTTCATCCAGTTTCTATAGGTCTTCTCCTCCCTGGTCTCCTCCAGGGACTCCAAACCTTCGATATTGCTCTCTGGTTTGTCAAGGCCTGGGTAATTGTTGAACATGTTGGCGACGAACGCAAGATTCAGCTTGTATATGCCGTTCACCACGTCGCTGGGGGTTACGAAGCTGCGACAGCCTAACTTGGCCGCCTGCTGGAGCATGATCTCCGCTCGCGAGGTGTGGTTGGGCTCCATCAACGCCTCCAGAGTGACTCCGGCGGTGTGAGGGGCGATTTGCTTGATGAGATAAGTGTAGATCTCGGAGTCGGTGATGTCAGATTGGAAGTTGTTGCACCGTCTCGCGATTCCGGCGTTCTCCAGATGGTGGTTCACCCATCGCAGAAGTATCGACTCTGGAGAGAGTTTCAATAGGTCCTCGATACGCTCTCCGTCTTGGAGCAGAGTGGCAAGGCCTGGACAATTCTCCAGGGTGATTTGGTTGAACAGACCGATCCTGATGATCTGCCATAGCAGGCCAAGGACGAGGTGGGGAGAACCTTTCGTTAGATCGTGAGCGTCGATGTTCACGATGTTGCAACCGATCGCTTGAGCTGATGACAAGGCTAGGGTCAGGTTCTCGTGCTTCTTGTAGAGGGTTAGATTCTTCTTGTTGATCGTTCGCTCGTCGATCGTGTCCGGGCAAGAGTGGTTTATTATTTTACTGCAATTGGAAACGAGTGGTTAGGTCATTGTTGGGGACAAAAGGTAGCATAATAACGTTGGTAAATTAATATGGTCCCTGGATTGACAGTCGAGCATCGAGACGTCATAAATTCATCAAATTCACAGTCTGATCATAACATTATTTTTCTCTACAAATACTAAAACCTTCTCAATTCAAATCCCTTTAAAATAATATCAGAGATGACCCAAAAGAATCAAACCGGCTCAAAATCAGTCCAGGGTCAACAAAAATTAAAAAACTATATCGAATAATAATTACAAGCCAAAAGAGACTTACCAGAGTAGAATTCCGTCCTTGACCTTCTCGTACAGAGCCTTGCCCTCGGGATCGATGGGCAGCAAGTGCTTCAAATCAGGATCATGGGACAAATTTGTGTTGATCCAGTCGCTGAAAGCCAACTGTTCCTCCAATCGAACCGAATGCGTGGTACCTTCGCTGGAAGCTTCCGAAATACCTCCTAACGTTTCTAGATTCTCCTTCTTGGACACGACCTGCTTGAACGTGGCCCCCAACTCGTTGGCTTTCAGCTCTTTGCAGAGCTTCTCGAACTCCTCGAAGGACAGCCGTCCCTTGTGCTCGGACCTCTGTTTGTCGTCGTACTCCTCGATCATCCGGCGCACCTTGTATCCGGGCATCTTGAACCCGCATATGTCCAGGGCGCTCCGAAGCTCCGTGAGGTTGATGAAGCCGTCCCCATTCTCGTCGATCTGGAGAAAGAAGCCAGAATCTTCAGAAGGCTCTTTTCTTCGGAAGTTGAGGAGATTTCGAGGCTTGCGATTCTTCAGGTGTCGGGATTTGGAAATTTCTGGTGCTTAGTGTCTTCAGGAATTACGAGGATTTTTCTGGTGTTATTGACCTGAGGATTTGGAGGCTTCTAGTGCTTAGAGTCTTCAGGATTTGGAAATTTCTGATGCTTAGTGTCTTCAGGAATTAAGAAGATTTTTCTGGTGCTTAGAG